CACGCAGACACGGACACACGCAGACACGGACGCAGACACGGACGCAGCCCCCCAACTCCACTCTTGCAGCGGTGACCGTGCGCAGCCGGTGGCGCCCGCACAGGACGCGCGGAGACTCGGCCACCGCCCACGACTTACGGGAACGGAACTCCCCGCTCCCGGTGGCCAACCGGCGGCATGACTCAGGGGTTCAGCAGTCCAGTACCTCCCCGTCGCCCCCAGCTCCGCCCGCGCCCAGCCCGCCGGGCCACAGCCGGGAACCGGGGCCGGAGCAGGGGGCGCAGGGCCGCGGATGTGGGAGGGAGGAGGGGGGCAGGGGAGCGGGGTCAGGGGTGAGGGGGGAGGGAGGGAGGAGGGGGCGCGGGGTCAGGGGTGAGGGCGGAAGGCGGGGGTCGGGGGCGCGGGGCCGGGGGCGCGGGACGCGGGGTCCACGGACGAGGGGTGCGGGGTCGGGGTGAGGGCGGGAGAAGGCGCGCGGGCCCCGCACTCACGTTTGTACTCGGCCATCAGCCTCTTGAGCGCCGTCCCCGCCATCGTCCCGGCAACAGCTGTGCCGTCCGGCCTCGCCTCCTAAGCGCAGGTCCCCTCCCGCCCGCCGCGGGCTGCTTCCGGGTCGCCGCCGGGGCCGGAAACCCTTCCGGGGCGCGGGGGGCGCCTGCGCAGTGGCGAGGTTGCTGAGGTTGCCGAGGGCAGCGGCGCAGGTGCGGCGCCGGGGACGTCCGGGCGTCGGGGTCCCGGGTCCCCAGCTTCCGCCAGGGCCTCGGCTGCTCTGGGGGTCCGGGTCGCGTGCGGCGATCCGCCTCCCGTCGGCCGGGTGTCCCGGAAAACCCGGAGCCGCGGCGCCCGGAGACGGTGTGTCGGCCGCCTGTTGCATCACACTGGCCGGGCCTCGGGAAGGTCCGCTCGGGGGACCGCGCGGGGGCGGGACCGGGGACGGAGGACGGCGGCCTGGGGACGGGACCGGGAGAGGACCCTGGATGAAAGGCGGACATGGAGCCCGGCGCTCGCGGGCAGGGACGGGGGCAGGGCGGGCGGCTGCTGGCGGAGATCGCATCGGGCGGGGGTCCTTATAAATGTGACCCCGTGGAGGCGGTTGGGGACCAAAGGCCGCACCTGCAGGGCCAAGCACGCGTGGCAAGGGCCGTTTCAGGGTGACTTTCGGGCCCAAATGCAATCAGCGGAGAGCTTCGGGGGCTGTGGGTCCGAGAGGTCGCGGACTGCGGTGGTTCTCCTCCGCCACAGCGTGGGGCTCCCCATCACCGCGGGCGCGCGGAGGGCAGGGCGCCAGGGAGGTCTGAGGGAGCAAAGCTGCGTGACCCGCCCGCTGCCCAACCGGCTGCTGCTCGGGAGGGACCAGCGCCTTCCAACCACCCTTCCCCACCCCCCACCCCTCCGGCTCCCCCATCGTGCCCTGGGGTAAATGAGTCCTTTCTTAATATTATGGTGGTCTGTTCCCAGTGGGCCCACTGTGATGTGCTGACCCAGTCATGCTTCTCAGAACCCCATTCTGAACGATTAAGAAAGTAAGCAAACTTCGTATTTTGTGGCTCTGCCGTGCAAAGATTTACACACCTTAAACCTTAAAAAAGAAAAGTTTCAGGGCCTGGGTGGCTCCACTGGTCAAGCCTCTGCCTTCTGCTCAGGTCATGATCCCAGCATCCCCTGCTCCGTGGGGAGTCTGCGCCTCCCCCTGCCTGTGCTCCCTCCCCCTCTCTCAATAAATAAAATCTTAAAAAAAAAAGTTGTTGCGTCCACAGCACGTATGTCCTACCTACATCCTACACTCCTGTGTAGAAGTTACTGTGGAACGTCCTGTACCATATACAAGCATCACACGGAATTGCTCGTTACTGTCTGCCCCCTGCACCCAGAAAACACGTTCCACAAGGGCAAGCAGTTTCCATCTCGTTCATTCGTGGAGCAGCGTTAGTGCCCGAGCGTGGCAGTCCGTGTCTGCTGAACTGAGTGAAATTTGTCAATGCAAACACACCTCCCGAGCGTGCATGTTTTAGGGTAGAAGCACACAAAATGTACGCCAACACCAGCTTCTCGGATGGGTGGGCCACGCACTGCACAGAGGACGAGTCTTATCTTCAAACACCAACAACCTTGAGAAGCCCAAACTTAGGTCCCCGTCCATCCAGATGATGCTCTGGAGAAGAAAGGTGTCACGGTGCCAGTTCCCAGCCACAGGCTGGGAGAGCTCGTGAGGAAGGAGGGGGATGGCCAGGACTGGCATGTGTGACCTGCCAGGGCGCAGAGGGTGACCATCAGGTGAACACTCCCTTTTCACCAACTAGCCTGAAAATGCCAGTGGCCTCCCTGAATGGTCCATACGGATGGGGCACTGTGACAGTATGGCCCAAGGCCAAAGGCAGTACTTATTACAAGCCCGGAGACGGAATACCAAACTATATTTCCTGTTTACAGTAGCAAAGGACAACAAATAATGTACAAATCAGTGAACGCACAGAACAGAGCCAGCAGGACCCCCCCCCCACGCCCAAAGAGCAGGACATAAAGGAAATGCAAACGCCTTCAGCGAGATTTCAGGCAAGCAAGAGACGACAGTCATGGTCACGCTTGGTGACTAGAGCAAGGCAGCAGTGGGTCCATACACAAAGACAGGAGGAAAACTATCCGTTTAATTGGTGCATCCCAAACCCTCACAGAAGCGAGATCACGTACTAAAGCTTAAGTCTCCCACCTACTTGGAAAGCAGCATAGCCCACGTCCGTCGGGGCAACACGGAGTCACCTTTCCGTGGGCTTCGTGGGTAAACACACTCGGAATCCGGTCTTTCACATGAAAACAAGTGCATACCCAGCAATACTGAATCCTGTTTTTAGAGAGACCATAATTACTCAGAGGAGAGAAACGTGAGGCCAGGGCCCTATGACCAAGGGAGACCCGTGCGGGTGGCTTTCTTCTCTAGGAAGGGGAAAGGCCTATCTCTGCGGCCCCAGACGCCAGGCAGTGGGTGTCCATGCCCAGGGCCATGTTGCCAAAGGACCTGCTTATTTTCCTTTTCACCTTTTAAAAAGCATTTCAGTATCTTCCCTTCAACTTCACCATATCCTGAAACGCAGTACTTCTCAGCATTTAAAAAACCTGTGCCTACACGGAAGAGGGAAAGTTTGTCTCCCTTCCCCAAGCTGTCCCCAAACTTGTCCAACAGAAGCGCCCCCACCGCGGTGCTGTGGGCTCTCCAACAAGCAGTGGGGTGGGGAGGCCGACCCCTGTGGGCAGGTCCCCACCTAGACTGCAAGTGGACATTCAGACCACAAGTCGGGGAGCAAAACTGGAGGGGGGAAAGGACAAAAATGAAAGCAAAAACAAACCCCAAAACCCTCAGAACACATTTCGCCCCAACAAAGACAAGTGCGACCGGCCCGATTCCAGCCGTGGGCTCCCCCTGCAGACAGTTCTGAGCTGCCCTCGCCAAATGTCAAAAGAGAGGGAAGTAGTTTTGGTGACCGTCCTTGGGTTTCCGCAGACTCCTCTGTGGTGGGCACGGTCTCTCGTTCACTATTCAACAGCAGACCAAGGACGACGACACAGCGGGGACAGTCCCTGTAGAGGGGCGCCCTAGACACAGCCGCTCTCAGGTGAGCCTCCCGTCTGCTGCTGGAACACGTCAATGGTGTCTTCGTCCTCCATCTCCAGCTGCCGGGGGTGCGGTGAGAGAGGGGGCAGTGGTTAGTTTCCTCACCATCCCAGGAGTGCCAAGTCCTCCCAAGCAAAAACACAGGCTCACTGCGCGGTCGTCCTCCCCTCGGAGGACACCGTCCAGCCTGGCCATACCTGTGCGCGTCACACAGGGACAGATGCCCGGCTGTGGACTTCCCGTGAGCCCTACTCATCCCCCCAAGCTTCCCCCAACAAAACTCACAAAAGATGTTCAAACCTAAGGACTTAGAAAAACTAAGCCTCTGGGGGCACGGGCCTGGCTCAGTCATCAGGAATGGGACATGTGACCTCAGGGTTGTTAAGTTCAAGCCCCACATGCTGTGTACAGATCGCTTAAAAATAATGCAGTTTCAGGGGCACCTGGGTTGCTCAGTGGGTTAAGTGTCTGCCTTCAGCTCAAGTCCTGATCCCAGGGTCCTGAAATCGAGTCCCACACCTCAGGCTCTCTGCTCAGTGGGGCGCCTGTTTCCCCCTCTCTCTCTGCCTGCCTCTCTGCCTACTTGTGATCTATCTCTCTCTCCCTCTCTCTGTCAAATAAATAAAATAAATTTAAAAATAAAATAATTTTAAAAAAAATGAAGTCTTCAGAAAGAAAAGTAAGTCTCATTAAAAAATAAACAAGTGTCTCAAGTTTTCACTGGCCGTGACCCCCCAATCCCATCCCACTTCGGAGCATCTAACGAACGGTGCAGATCATGCCCGTGGACCCCAAACAAAGCCACATCCCACAAGGAGGGTCTGCTAGAGCAAGAGAGCACTGCTAGAGCAGACGTGTCCTGCCACCGGCTCTTCTCTCCTGGCATGGGGTGCTCACACGTCTACCCCTATCTCCCCCATTCAGAGTCTGCAGAGGCTGGAAGCACCAATGCTCCCCCGGGACGCTCTCCCAAGGACAGAGGTGCGGGGCTGGGACAGCAGGGCTCCTTCCCGCTCAGGCCCCAGCGGCAGCCAGAATGACAGGCAGGCAGGATGGCCAGGGTGCTTCCCCAGCCCCCCAGCCCACAGGAGCCCCCCGTGGCCCAGTACCCCAGGTGAGCGGTGCAAGAGCTCCTGGAGTGGCACCCACAGCCCGTCGCTCAACGGTCCTGTCACGTGGCCCCATCTGCCTGATTCTCACAACCCAGGACCGAAAACAGGTATCCTCTCACTTCACAGAGAAGTTGGAGACTCCGAGACAGTCAGGGGCTCTGGATCACAGGGTCACCCAGGTGGCGGCATCAGCAGCACCCCAAGCTCAGCGCCTTCTCTCCAGGCCCAAAGCCCTCCCGCTGCAGTGTGCTGTGCGGTAACAGGAGGGGGGCACAGCGGGCCCCAGGGAGCAAGCCGGCATGATGGGTGACGTCGTCTGTGCCGGTCTCGCTGCTCCAGCCCATACCCCGGGGTGCAGCACTGGAAGGGCACAAGAATCGGGCCGGCCACGGAGCTGCCAGTCCGGCGCCCCAGACAAGGCGCGGGCACTGGGAGAGGGGGCAGGGGCATGGGCGCCAGTACCCCATCCTCCACCCCATCTGCCAGCACGGGGGGACAACGTCCAACTTGTCTCCTCTGAAAAGCGAACCCCAAATTTAAAACTTAAATTAACTGATTAAAATCATTAAGAAACGTCACGTATCGTGCGTGAGGCCGCCCAGCAGTGCTCAGACCAGTGCACCCCCCATGGCGCGGTGGAGACAGAAGCCCCCCACCCCCCCGCCGGCTTTCCTACCTGCGCGGGGGTGTCTGTCTCGTTGATCGGCTGTCCGTCAAACCTGAACCTGATCTGCCTCATTGACAAGCCCTGAAAAGAAACACCAGTTACCGTTCCTGTTCCCAGGTGACACGTTAATTCCAGAAAAGAAAACATTTATCTCAAAACATCAGAATTCAGAACATACAGCCTTACGACCCGCGTGATTATAAAACAAGCCGGCGGGCCTACCACGCACTGTGGGATGCGCAGCACGGAGGCTTCCAGAAACCCCAGCTCTCATACCTTCCAGCCCCCGGGGGGTCGCGCCCTGCCCAGCCCCCACTTCCCCCCAGAAGCGACCAGAAGTTCACACTGCTGGCGCCACCACCTTTAAGAAGGTCCCAGAGAGAAAGGGTCAGGCGGCAATGAGGCCCAGGTCACAGGGCTGTGTGTAGGCGGGAAGCAGGCCGGAGAGCGGGGCCCAGCCGGGGAGGAGCCCGCACAGACAGCTGCGCCCAAGGCCAGGGCAAGTGTGGCCGGGAGACAAAGATCCTTCCCAAGAAGCACCTCTGATTCCTCCCCAGCGCAACAGGCAGGACTGAAAGCAGCATCTCTGCTCCCTCCTGAAAAGATCTGACCCAAAACCCAAGGCATGAAGCACAGGGACGCAGAGAACAGGAGAGGAGAGGGACCCGCAGATGCAGGCGTGGCCACCCGCTGGGCGCTGCACAGCGGCGTAGATACTAGACCACCCCAAGGTCAGGTGTGGGTGGGGCAACAGGACACGGAGCCCCCAGAGGCTCAGGGCTGCTCACAGCTGACGCTCCAGCAGTGCCTGAAAACTGGTGCAAGAAAGGTCCCTCCATACCCCCAACCTGGGGGCCCCCCTGCCCCAAGCGGCCAGGCACTGCCATTCCCTGGGCAAAAGATCTACTTTCCGGAGAGATGGGCTCTGAGCCCTGGGCTCAGGACACCAGGAACAAGTGACAGCAGCCAGCATGGAGGCCAGCCAACGGCCGAGCCCCAGCTGCCCGTCCAGCCGCACGCCCAGGACGCAGACAGGAGGCTGGGAGGTCTGCTTCTGGGAAATTTAATGACTCACAGGTCATGACACCTGCAAGGCACCCCCCACCCCGCGCCCCCCAATGCTGGCAGGCCACCCCACCGTGGCTTGTGGGCTCTGTGCAGGTGGCTTTTCATCAGCTTTTGGGCCTCACTCATAGTTATGAGCAGCTAACCATGGACTTGGAGACAGAAAGCCTCAGATGTGCGGGCCTCCGATCAGTGAGGAAGGAACAGGTCTGCAGACACGGGCGGGGAGGGCCCGGAGGACACAGACTCTGGAAATCCGAGAGAGAGACAGTCACTGCTGGGAAAAAGCAACCGTCAGAGAACAAGGGGGAACGAAGTGCGTTTGAGAATGAGAACTCACGGCAGAGGCCGGCCAGCCCAAGTAAGATGGGAGCACGAAGTTAGAAGAACCTCCCAGGAAGAAACCCAACGGCATCAAGCGCCAAGCCTGAAGCCAGGTGGGCAGAAACGCTCCTGAGTGACCGGCCCAGAACAGGGAACTCCAAGACGCAGGGGCGTCCCGAACACAGGGGACAGGACGGGGGAGGGCTCCGTCCTCGAAGAACCAACATCAGTCACGTTTCCTGAACTAAAAACAAGTTTCTACGTGGAGGGGCCCCTGGCCGGCTCCACAGTGAAGCCCGCGACTCCTGATCTCAGGGTGACGAGTTCAAGCCCCACGACTGGTGTACTGATTACTCTAAAAATAAAAGGAAAAGAAAGAAAAAAAAAAAAAAAAACCACATAGGGCGCCTGGGTGGCTCAGTGGGTTAAAGCCTCTGCTTTGGGCTCAGGTCATGATCTCAGGGTCCTGGGATCGAGCCCCGCATCGGGCTCTCTGCTCAGCGGGGAGCCTGCTTCCCCCTCTCTCTCTCCCTGCCTCTCTGCCTGCTTGTGGTCTCTGTCTGTCAAAGAAAGAAAGAAAGAAAGAAAGAAAAAGAAAGAGAAAAAAACGCACCAGGAAAGTGAATGGTACAATCACGCCCTTCAAAGCCATGACAGTGACGTTTTAGGACACAGAATTAGGTCTTAAAATCTCTCAGAAAAGAGCAAAGTTACATCAAAGGACCGAGAATCGGAATGTCACTGCACTTGCTACGCCAACACGGGGAGAAGACGACGTAGTAAGAACGTGCAGCCAATGGTGACGCGCTGAGGTTTATGAAAAGTCGGTCACCTTCAGACTCACACTGTCTCAAAGACGCTGCGTTTTGTAAACCTCCCACAGCAAGATGCCGGAAGACATGCTCTGCCGAAACAGAGGAAGATTAATCCAGAAAATACAGAGGATGGGGGCCAAAATTATCTCCAGAAGGGTTCTGAGGGGGCTCTGTGAGGACGGCCCGGCCACCAGGGCAGCAGGGCAGGAAGGGAGGGACAGGAGGCGGCAGGGACTGCAGGGACGAGCCCCCCAGGCAGCGGGTGGACAATATGGGTGATGAGTTCACCATGATCACCCAGAAAACCACACACAGGGACGGCCTCTCAGACCAGATCTGGAAGGTGGGGAGGGACACGAGGAAGGCACGCTGTGTGCCTATAGTGTTTGGTGTAACAACAGGACCCAAGGCCACCACCAGCAGAGCCAAGAACGGGAACAGGCCAGCAGGATTTCCAGAGCGTTTGGACACAGGCTGCCTCCCGCTAAGAGGACCAGGGCATTGTGGAGAAGAGGCCAGGCAGGACCTGGTCCAGGAGCCCACACCCCGCACCGCAGAGCGATGTGGACAGAAGCCCCCGGGGGGAGGGACGTGGAGGGTCTCAGGTCCCCGTGTGAATGAGAACCAAGGACTGTGAGGTTCAAAACAGCGACATGTGTGGGCCGGTGATGGCAACACCAACCCTAGAGGGCCAGTCCGTCACTGCGGGAGGGCGCTGGAGACCCGGCCCACGGCTGCGGTGCCGCTAAGCCAAGGGAGGAATCAAGGGTTCTCCACAAACCCAACCGTGAGCAGGGCCGTGTCTCCATGCACACGCTCCAGCCGCTGCCAGAAGTAACAACGGAAGCACACGCGTCCACGACTCTGCAACCGTGCCCCTGAAGGACACGGCCACACACGCCTGACCGCGGGGGGACAAGCAGCGGGACCCGGCTGTGGACAGGGCTGGGCCGCCACCTGATGAGACAGCAACAGGAGCAGAAAGACACAGCCAGCGAGGGGTGAGAGTGCACGTGCACAGACACCTGTACCACATGCACTCATGCACACAAACACGCGTGCACACGTGTGTGCATGCTCATGCACTCGCGCACGTGCACACTTGTGCGCACACACACTTGTGCGCACACGCTTCCGGGAATGCGCTCGTGCACCCACATGCACTCATGCACACGCACACAAACACACATGCACACTCGTACACGTATACGCCGTGCTCGTGCACTCACGCACGTGTGCACACGCGCTTCCAGGAATACCCTCGCGCACCCACATGCACTCGTGCACGCACACACACTCGTGCACACACACTCGCGCACACATGCACACGTGCATCCAGGCCACCGCCTGCTGTCGTGGAGCCACGCTCAGCATGGGAGCCCAGGGCCGCGGCACGGGAGGACGCACCTGCCTCTCGCAGTACGCCTTCATCAGCTTGCTCAGTGGGGTGTGTCTCTTGATCTTGAACTGGACCACGGAGCCGTCCTGCCCGGCCACCTTGAGGTTGATGTGGTCGTTTTCGGTCTTCACGCCCTCCTGCAAGCACACGCGAGACCGCGTCTCAGCACCGGCCCCCGCACGGCCACCATGCTCACGGGCCGCAGGCGGGACCTGCTGGGTGGAAGGGTTTAGGAGCAGCTCATCCATCTCTGGCAGCCCTGAGTCCCTCACACAACCGCTTCGTCTCGACACAGGACGCTCCCAACGTCTACACAAGTGGACAGAATTCACAGGTTATGAGCTCAAAGGACAGAATCTGCTTAAGGACGCTGGGAAAAACCCGCAACCGATCGTTGCTGTAGGAGGACTCTTCCAACATCCCAGCGCGCGCACGCTTCCACGGACCGCGACGACAAACGAGACAAGCACCGCCCACGACACGAGCTCGAGGGCAGCGGCCGTGTTGGGGGGGTCACCCCACGGGCCGCACCCCTCTCCCGCGTGCCTACGGCGGATCCTGTGGGCACAGGACCATCTCACTACTCCGGCACTATCTGGGAAGACAGGAGTCCTTTACTTTTGAACAAGATGAGAAAGCTGGCCCGGGGCCCTTTGAAAGTCAGGTCTGATGTGAACTGTGTTCCCGTCCTCCCGCCCTCACACACACCCGTCTTGCTCCGGCGGGTCCTGCAGGATGGGGACCCATCTGTCCCGGTCCCGTGGCTGTCTCCCCTTCCCTCCTGCAGGGCCCTGCGCCTGGGCTCCCAGGGACGTGTAGGGCTGGGCGAGCAGCAGCCCCCGAGACAGGACTCCAGCAGCGCCACAGAAGGCGGACCAGCTGGGGCGCGCTGTGGTTGGGGCCGGGACAGGCATGCGGACACCCCGATACCCTCCCTCTCCGGGACAGAGACGCCGCCGCGGCCAACCAGGCCCTGCACGAGGGGTGCTCACTGACCCGCGACCAGGGCGGAGCTGGGCACGCATCCCCCAGACATGAAAGATGCATTTGTCGGGCTTTTTTTTTTTTTTTCAAATAAAGGTTTTATTTTGGAATAATTGTACATTTCCAGAAAAGGAGCAGCCAGACCAGAGCTGGGACTGCACGCGCCCCTTGCCAGGCTTCCCTCGTGTGAATGCCCCCGGTGCCACTCTCCATCTGTGCCCCTGGGAGCCCAGAGCTCGCGGCCGCACTGGCAACGCAATGCACACTTCCCTGACATCACCCCAGGTTTCCCGCCAACAGCCTTTCTCTCTTCCAGGATCCAACCCAGGCCACCACACTTACATCCATTTAGAGATAGGACTTTTTTTTTCAATTTTTTTGTGTTAAAATACACATAACAGAGGTGCCTGTGTGGCGCAGGTGGTGAAGAGCCTGCCTTCGGCTCAGGTCATGATCCTGGGGTCCAGGGATCGAGGCCCGCATCAGGCTCCCTGCTCAGCGGAGGGCCTGCTTCCCCCTCTCCCTCTGCCTGCCACTCCCCCTGCTGTGTTCTCTCTCCCTCTGCCAAATAAATTAAAAAAAAAAAAAAAGGGGGGGGCGCCTGGGTGGCTCAGTGGGTTAAGCCACTGCCTTCGGCTCAGGTCATGATCTCAGGGTCCTGGGATCGAGCCCCGCATCGGGCTCTCTGCTCAGCGGGGAGCCTGCTTCCCCCTCTCTCTCTGCCGGCCTCTCTGGCTACTTGTGATCTCTGTCAAATAAATAAATAAAATCTTTAAAAAAAAAAAGAACATGTAACATAAAATCTACCATCTAACCACTTCTGGCTGGTATTACACACAGACCTGACGTCCTCCAACCTTCACCACACCCACCTCTAGAACCCTGTTCTCGCGGCAGAACTGGGACTCTGTGCCCACTGAACCCTAACTCCCCTCCACCCAGTGCCCCCATTCTCTGTCTCTGTGATTCCATCCGCTCTGGGCATCTCACGAGAGTGGATCACACCGTGTTTGTCCTTTTGGGACCAGATTATTTCACTTGGCATGATGTCCTCGAGGTTCAAACCCAGTGCGGCAGGGGCCCGTGTTGACGTCCTTCCGCCACACGGCGGGGGCACGTTTCCCATGTCCGTTCCTCTGAATTCATCCGTCCACGGACCCCTGGGTTACTTCCATGTCGTAGCTGTTACGACTAATGCTGCCATGAGCTTGGGGGGACAAGTAACTCTTGGAGACCCCGCTTTCCGTTCTTTGGGGCAAATACCCAGGAGGATCGTGGCTCCGTATGGTGATTCTATTTTTAATTCTTGTAGGAACACCATATTCACGCTGCTGTGACTGCACACTGGACACGCCCACCTCGCGCGGGCTCACCGGGGGGCTGTGTCTGACTTCGGAGAGCAGCCACCCCCGTCGCTGGAGTTCTGATTCGCACTGCTCTGTTCGTGACACTGAGCGGAGCCGACGGGCTCAGTGGCCATTTGTGTACCTTCGTCTGGAGAGATGTCTGCTGGAGAGCTTTGTCCATTTCTGAATAAAGTTCTTTTTTGCTCTTAAGTTTGAGGAGTGTCCTCCGTATTCTGGATATTAATCCGTGATCAGACCCGTGATTTGCAAACATTTCCCCCTCTGCGGGCGGCTGCTGATCCCAGGGACGGTGTCCCTCGATGCCCAAAATGTCTCATTCTCGAGGAGTCAGGATGCTGTTTTCCCTTGTGGCTGGTCCTCTGGTTTCCTATCCAGGAAACCACTGTGAAGTCCACTGTCCTACATTCTCTCCTAAGAGTTTCACTGCCTTGGGTCTTACGTTTCGGTCTCTGATCCATCTGAACTGCTTTTTGTATACGGTGTGAGGTAAGGGTCCAACTCCGTTCTTTCACATGTGCATGGAGGATGCATTTGCTTTTTTAACGAAATGATATGCAAGTGTCAAGACAGACACGGGGACTAGAACACAGAGCAGACAGACACACCGGGCAGCGGCTGCAGGCCAGTGCAGGAAAGCAGCAGAATTAGGGAGGACACTTTGGGCTGGTGCCGGCAGGGAGCCTCACAAGCTGCTCTCCCTAAGGGAAGGACACCAAGAACAAAGGCCTGTCCCAGACCCCTGGTGAATTCCTAGTAAACCAGCAGTAAAAGAAAAAAAGAAACAATGACCGCAAATCACCAAGGTCACACCCTGCATCAGCTATCCAAAGGAGGCAGACACTGTTTTCCCAGCTGACCCCCCAGGTTTTCTTCCCAGCACCACGATGGCCCGCAAGGGCACCCCCATCCTCTCTCCGGGCCTGGGAGGCACAGGCTTTCCTCGGTTCAGAAGTAGCGCAAACAAGGTTATCCTGACCCCGCACAGGGAAGCTGGCCACGTAGCAGGGAAGTCTGAGGACACTAAGTCAGGAGGGCTGGAGCTGTCCCACGGTACTGGAACTTCCGTAAGAGGAAGCCACGGAAAAAACCCTAAAGGCGTTTCTATTTGCCCCCGGCAAGCAATCGACCCAAGATGGGAAATTAGAGTAAAAGGCCGGGCTGGCAAAAAGCAAAGACAACTTCACCTGCCTCTGCCAAGAGGCAGAGGATCTGGAGCGCGGCCTTCTCTGAAATCCCAGCGGGCAGGGGGACAGCCTGCACAAGGCCCAGACGGGGGCAGGGCCCTGGGCTCCGCGAGGGTCCGCCGCACCCCAGCCCTGCCTGCTGTGTGCACGGAAGCCCAGAGGGGCAGGGACTCCGGGATCAGAAGAACCCTACGCGGGAAGCACCCACCTCAACGGATGCTCCGCTTGGGCAAAAACGATGGACCCCATCAGCGCAGACCAACGGCCTCAAACGCTTGTTTTTGACAAGAGCAGTTACCGTAACTCACACTTCCCTAAGAACCGCCACAGCACCTGAGCGAGGAATCCAGACCAGGGAGCCAGAAACGATGGAGGAGCACAAACCCGGAGGACATGATGGGGAGGGGGCGGGGGAGGGGGCGCACACTGGAGGACGCCATGGGTGGGGGCCGCTGACCTGGACACCAGAAGCGCAGCGAGGGGCAGGTGATGTGGGGGGGAGGGGCGCACACTGGAGAACGGGATGGGTAAGGGGGCGCGCACTGGAGGATGCCATGGGAGGGGATGCGGAGGGGCGCGCACCGGAGGGCACAGACGCGGAGGCGACGGGGAGGCACGAGCGCGCACGGAAGATGTCCCGGGGCGGTGGCGCACACCTGGAGGACCGCGGTGGGACGCGACGACTGGGGGGGCGCGGCGCCCACCGGAAGACGCGGGCGGGGAGCCGCGAGGACACCGGGGGCGCAGAAGGCCCGGCCGTTGGGGGGCTCCCGCGGGCACCCGGCGTGCACCCTCTCGGCGCCCTGCGAGGGCAGAGCGGGGCGCGCGGACGCCGCCGGGGGATACGCGGCCCGCAGGGGCGGGGGGCGCAGCGGCGGGAAGGTCCCCGCGATGAGGTCTGGGAGAGGCGCGGCCCGGGGGGAACCGGACGGAGCGGGCAAGGGCGAGGCCGGGGACAGGTCCCAGCACAGGGCTGGTGCGGGTAGAGGGTGGGTGACTCCGGAGGTGGCCAGGGGGTCCCGGAGACGGCGGGTTCCGACAGGAAGCGCCCCGACGGGGAGGGTCCGGGCAGGGGATGCCCCGCCGGCCCTCCAAGGGCCGCGTCCCCTCGGCGCGGCGTTCTACGTCCGCCCCAGCCGGGCTACCGGGAGCGGCGGGGCGGGGCCTGGCCGAGGGGCGGGACCCGCGCCGTCGGGCGGAGCCTCGGTGGGGCGAGGCGCGCCGCGGGGGCGGAGCCTGGATGGGGCGGGGCCGGGGGCGGGGCGGAGGCGGGGCGGGGCGCGCCGCTGGGCGGAGCCGGGCCGGAGGGGGAGGGGAGCGGCGTGCGGGGGGAGGGGCGGGAGGCCCCGGGCGCGGGGAAGCCCCGCAGACGCCGCCTAGCCCCCGCACCCCGAGGTCACGGAGGGCGCCCGGGACGGGCCGGCCCGGGTCGGACCGGGGTGGGGGGGCGGCAGCGACGGCGCGGGCGCGGGCCGACCCCGGGGCCCCGGCCCGCACCCGCCGGCCCTTACCTTGGGCTTCTCCTCGGACATGGCTGCGCTCGGCGGCGGGAGGCGGCGGCGGGGAAGCAGGCAGCGCCGGAGCGGACGAGTCACGCTCTCCGCCCGCCGCTCTCCCGCCGCAACTGCTCGCGGGGCCGCGCTTTGCCCCCCAAATCCCTGCGCGCCGGTTGGCTGCCGTGGGGGTCACGTGGTTGTGCGCGTGCACGATGCGCGCGCCCCGAGGTGTCGGGCGCGCGCTCTACTGGGCCGAGGTTCCTGGTGGTTGGAAATGCGTCACGGGGCGGGCCGGCGCCATCCGGTGGGCCCGACAGCGGGGGTGCTCAGGGCACCGAGGGGCCCGGGGGCGCACACGGAAGGGGGGTGTGCTCAAGGCGCCAAGCGACCCCGGGGGCGCTCAGGACACCGAAGGGCCCGGGGCTGGGGGGGTCCAAATATACAAGGGGGTGCTCAGGGCACGGAGGGCCCCGGGGGGCAGGGTGAAAAGGCCAAATACAGTGCCAAGGGGCGCTCAGGACACCAAAGGGCCCGGGGGGGGGGGGGGGGGGGGGGGGCCAAATATTCAGGGGGTGCACAGGGCACCGAGGGGCCCAGGGGTGCACACGGGAAGAGGGGCCTGGGGCTGTGAGTAGGACCAGGGGCTGCTCAGGGACCCAGAGGCACACAGGGAAGGGGAAGTGGGGGACGGAAGGGGCCATTCAGGACACGGAGGGGCCCAGGAGCACATAGGGAAGAGGGGTGCTCAGGACATCCAGGGGGTTGCTCATAGGTGGGGGGCAGGGACAAAGATGGGCATGTTATCTTAGGGACTGAGAAGGGCCTGTCCACTTTCTCGATGCCCTAGTTCGCAGACCTCGTCCCCGCCGGCTTCCGCTCCGCCAGCCAAACCCAGACACACCCGCTGGTCTCTTGGGGGCGGGGGGAGGGCGTTTTTCAGAGCAAAAGGAACAAAGGCCGGTGTGGTGAGCCATCTGTGGTGGGCACAGGGGACCCAGTGCGTGAGCTGCCTCAAGAGTTCCACTCCTGGAAAAGGCTCCACTGGCCCTCACGAGGAGCCTCATGTCCCGTTGGGAGCAACCGCAGGTGGAGGAAGGTGGTCTGAGGCCGGCGTACCTGCCCGCCAGTGACAGCTTGCTCGTGTTCACTTAGCGCGCCCACGGGAACGCCAAAGCCTGCACCCCCCACCAGGGCGCCAGGGGGAAGGAGCCCTGTGCTAGGCCTGCCCGGCCCGGCCACTTGTCTCTGGCTGGAGCCATCTCAGCTGCCTCCACTTCCCCTCTTACCAGTCCCTCCCGAGCCTGGTGACTGGGAGCCAAGCACCTGGCAGGGGTGCTGGGGGGATGGGTGTGGGAGGCTGTGTTGTGCCCGCCTTCCTGATGTTTCTGGAACGCACACGACACGGCAGAAACTCAGCACACACAGAATCTGCATAACACCATTAATTACATACTAGGTCTCTCGGAGAACGTCATTAAGTCGTAAGAAATCATACAGGGGAGGGTTGTGCCCGGGATGTAGAAGGCTGCAACAGTCATCATCCCGGTCTGAAAACGAGAAGCTGGGAAACCTCCAGAAACACTGCTTTTCTTAAACCATCGGAGAGCCGGGGTTGCAGCTTTGCCATCCTTAAGTCCAGGCCCCTCTAATCGGTTCAGGAAGATATTTTCCCGGGTCTCGGGATCTGACCTTAAAGTCTTTGAAGGTGTCCATCCCTTCATTGTCCTCACTCAGCGTACATCCTGGGCCAGGCCTTCTGGAGGTCTGTGCCTGGAGAGGAAACGGGGTCCCTGTAAAAGTCCACCCAGATCCAAGGACACGAGGCCTGCCGAAGTAAGGGCTGGACCAAAGCAACAGAATGTCCACCTGCCCCCACCACGCGCGCACACACACACACACACACACACGCACGCCCACACCAAGACAGCCGACACCAAGAAGTAAGCTGGGGGCCCGTGCTCCCTCTCAGGGAGAGAGACCCTCGCCCTCCCCGAGGTGGGGGAGCACGGGGAGGCCTGGACCCGAAGGTGGAGCAGGAACACTGAGAAACCGCAGCCAGCAAACCAGCCTCCCCTCAGCGCCGGGCAACGCCGGCGGAATTTGTGTCCGTGGACACAGTGAACAAACCAGTACCACAAAACCGAGACCCAGTCGCCTCCCAGCCCCCAGACTCAACCCCCAGGAGAGGAGCATCCATTTCCGGGTCAGCCCGGTCTCTGGGGCCCCACAGACAGCATCTGTTCAGTCGATGATTCCAAGACACACACACAAAGGAAGAAACCCACAATCCACACAGGAAAATCCAGACCCAGAGAGGACGCAGAAGCTGGGATGGTCTGGCCAGCTTTGTGTCCAGGCTCTGGTGGAAAAGGTCGGCAACATGAAGGAAAAGGTGCGGCTTCCCAGCCCGGAGACGGAGGCCGGGAACGGGGCCGCTGGAGACAAGAGCGCCGCGCGGATGAAGAATGCCTTCTGCGGGCTCACGGGCACCGTCGACACGGACAGGAGAGAATCCAGGAGCTTCTCGAAGACTCAAGAAATCACCCAGACTACAAGAGGGGAAACAGGTGGGAACCAAGAGAACCGAGCAGATGAAAGTGCTGGAATGAATCGTTTCGAACGGCCTGACATGCGTGGCTGGAGACACAGAAGAGAGAAGGGGCAGGAGAAAGGTTTGCAAAAGTAACGACTATGGGTTTTCTAACCGTAAAGATACCACAGCTCGGATCCAAATTCAGGAGACCCAGCCGGGATTTATGCCTGCAGGAGGCACATCTGTCCCCGCTGGTGGACCACAAACAGAAAACACATCCCGAAGGCAGGCGGGGACCCACACACGGGAGCCAGAAGGGCAGTGCACCTGTCACAGAAACCGTACCAGCCAGAGGACAGTAGGCCAAAACGTGGCCACGGCCCGAGGAGCAAGCCTCCAGCCCGTGGTCCTCCACTTCGGCCACACGTCAGAATCATGGGGAGCATTTAGGGACATGTGCTCATGGCCCCATGAAATCTGGAGGTAGGCTTCAGCATCGGTGGGCTTAAAAATTCCTCAGGCCGCACGGAGAACCACCAGTGTGTGTGCAGGGCGGGCCCGAGGCTCCGAGTGGGGAGCTGGAGCGTGTCTGCCACGGGCAGCCCGCCACGTGCCCTCAGCCATGGTGAGGACACTCCAGGCACCACGCGGCTCAGAAGTCGCAGGGAGCCCTGCAGGCCAGAGCCGTCAGGATGGAACTGGGCCACTGCTCTCGGTGTGGACTATGTGGTCCTGGGGCGGTGGGTGCCAGATGCCACAGTAAGTCACCCAGGCGGAGAGGGAACCGGAATTCTGTGAGCCATGGGGGGTCGTGAAGGCTCGTTGATCACAGGGACCCTCAGACAGGAACCAACACACAGCGAAGCCACCAGAGGCCAGTTCTAGGTCTGTTGGGCGGAATCCCAATGTGACCGCCAAAACGGGGACTCCTGGCCCCCTCCCAGGTGCTACGGCTGGTAAGGATGGACCCTGTCATTCAGGCACATGCAGAGACCGTGAATTGGCCCCCAAGCCTTTCCCAGATGGGCCTGTGGCCATTTTCAACGGTTGCAGGGTCCCGGAGCAAAGGGAGCTCCCTGAACTTCTGGGATCTTCTATCCTGGCTCTGTGGAGACCCCAGCCAGCCACGGAGGCCCACGGGTCAGAGGAGAGGGGCCTTGCCCTGAATCCAGCCCACAGGGCCTAGTGGGAACCAGGAGCTCCAGACGTCCCCTCACTGGCTGTGGCCGCAGAAAGGGCCAATAGGGGCCACCGGGGGCTCTTAATTTTGGCTCCAGCCTGGCTCTCAGTGTCCTGGAATCCAGCCCCACGTCGGGCTCCACGCCCTGCAGAGTCTGTTCCCGTCTCTCTCTCTCTCTCGCTAATGAATAAATAAAATCTTAAAAAAGAAGGGGGGCTGGATGGGCGCTGACCCAGGGTAACTGGGGTCGCACAGAAGAGAGGAGGGCACAGAGAGGGGGCGGTGTGAGGACACGGAGGAGGCGGCCCGGGACAAACAGCCTGCCTGCGCCTCCGCCGGCCCATGAAACGCTGACGTTTAAATCCTCCCGGCGGTGGGATGTCCTCACGGCAGCCAAGCACAGGCACGCACCCCACTGCTCTGGCTGCCCCGGAGCCGGGTGCGCCCAGAGAACCGCTGTGGGCCGTCGGACGCTCACGGGGCGGTGATGCCCACAGCAGCGACCCAGCTGTGCCCGTGTCCCCGACTCCTGCCAGCAAACACACCCCGAAGCCTTTCCCTGCCGCGGTGGGGACGTGCAATGTCTCCACTCTGGCCTCAGGGTTTCCATGGTTACGGGGCAGAGGGGACGGTGACATCACCCTGAGCTCATTAGGCCGGATGGGCCAGGAGCGGCCAGAGGCTTCCCCGGCACCTCTGCTCCCCGAGGCAGTGGCTGAACCCTTCCCCACTCAGGGGTGGCCACAGGGGTTCCTTCCTGGGGATCCGGGTGCCTGGGACGTGCCGGAGTGTCCTGGCAGGGAGGACGGTCACCATGTACTAAGCACCGTGAAGGTGGGTGCTGCACTCGGGGGGCCTCTTTGGACTTCGGAGGTGACCTGGTCCACACGTGCTGTGCTGCTCTCGCCCACGTGCGGGAGCCTCCTTCAGGCTGCCACTCTGGAGAGGCGCCTGGAGCTGCCCGCCCTGGGCCAGTCACCGGCAGACCCTGCCGCACGGACGCTTTGTGCGCCTTCGGGCAGGTCCCAGGAGAAGAACCACACAGAGACCATCTCTCGCCCTTGGGAGGAACACTGAGCCCTCTGCTAACAGCCATTCTCCCCTTGAAAAGCAGGTCCTTGCGCGTGGGCACTGGGGGGCGGGGGTGGGGCTCCCTGCCCAGACTGCCCCGCACGAGCACCTGACCCGCCAGTCCACACGTGCACGTGCACCTCGGGGTCGCGAGGAATGGGGTGGCAGGTCGTGAACACGCCCAGACCCAGCACCACAGAGGCTCAAAGGTCCTGCAAGCCGACATCCGGCCTCCAGGCCCAGGGGCAGCAGCATCCCCACCCCCGCCCCCAGGCAGGGGTCATGTCTTTCCAGCTCTTAGATGCTGGGGCAGTGCGGTCGACACACTGAAATGGAGCCCCAACCTTGGGGCTCCCCGAGTGCC